AAATAAATAAATTTAATATTATAAATCTTATTTAAATTAAAAAAATATTTATTTTAATGATACATGTAAGAAAAAGAAGAATAAAAAAGATAGAAAAAAAAACGTTTCCCTTATTATTATTATTTTAATTTTGATTTTACGTTCTGACTTCTGAGGTCCATCCGTAGTCTTCCACGACTAAGCTGAGCGTCTCTTTTTACATTTACTTTTGCAGGCGAGTTCTCAAATGCTTGAACACGAAGCTAAATAACACCGCCTCTCCCCACAGTCGGATTGCCTTGAACCCTCTCCTCTAACCGACGATGACCACCAATATCCACGTCACCGCTCTCGACGGCATCGTGAATGTGAACTCCCTCTTCACGTTCGCCGTCTTCATCGGCTTGACTTGGAACCCCACTGACCCAAACGGCTCCGACAGGCCCCTCATCTCAGATCCCAAATGTGCTCCCACCAGGCAAATCGTGGAGAACCTCATTTCCTTCCATGTCTACTCCTTCAGCTCCTTCCTCTTCTCCAGCATCATCGCTTTGGCCCTCAAGCAAGCCCTCCGGATCTCCAAAACCCACTATTTCAATACCGAGTTAACCTTTTTGGTTAAGATTAACAAGAACTTGCTTCGGATCGGGATGCTGATCTCAGCTGTGGGTTCCGTTTCCGGGTGCGGTTTCTTGATGCTGGCTTTGATTAATGTGGTGCAGGTCAAGCTCGGAACTTTGGCTTGTGGAAGCAGCTACGCCTTTTCTGCTGTTGTTCCGCTCGTGATTTTCGTCCCTGCTGGTCTCTTCATCTATTCATGCCTTGTTTTGTATGCTTTCACTCGTTAGTTTCCTTAATATTTTGTTGTTTGTACTGTTGTTGATGTAACTTGTATGGTTTCAGTGAATTACAATGAATTGAAAACCTTCATTTACCAAAAAGATGTGAAATTTTTTACGTTTTAGTCTCTAGTTTGCAGAATTGATTTTGTTAAGGAGAACTGGGGTAAAGCTGAAACTCCAATTTTGCTTCTTTTTCTGTGGTTATGGATGAAAAGATAGATAATTTTTGGTGTTTTGGATGGATGTTATTATGTTTCATCATTAGGATTGAGTTAGCTTTAGAGACATGAAGTAAAAGAGAAATTATGTGAGGGCAGGTCAAAGGTGGGGTTGAGATCAAAATTCACTCCGTAGATGTGATGGTATAAGAGTAAGAAGTGGCGGTACAGTATCAAGAAAGTATGTTTATAAAAGAATTCTGAAACGACTCTTTTATAAGCAAGATGCAAGTACTGAGAGATATAATCCATTGCTTCATCATATATTATTTGTTGTTAATCTGTTTTCTTCATTTTGGAAGATATTATATGGCAGCAAACTTCACAGCAGGATGTTGCTCGTGGTTTTGGATGTCATAGCTGTTTCTCAAGACTTCAATAGATTCTAGGTAAGTAGATAAGTTCAGGATAGGTTTTTATGAGCTAAAGCCTCATGCTTTGTTTTGACATTGTGCTTCCTTATGATTGTTGCTTTTGCCTTTGTGGTAGTGGTATGAAAATGTTGGCTACTGCATCATGATGCTTTTGTGAAGATCCTTTAAACAACTAATTTAAACAAGAGTTTGGAAAATTGTTGAAGATGGGCTTCAATAGAAATAGGGTCCAATGGATAGCTTGGTAGATTTTTGAACTTATTAGTTGGTATGCTGTCAGCTACTAATCAAAAGCTAATCTTTGCTGTTTAAAAACTAGTGGGAGTTGCCAATCAAAAACAAAACAAAAACAGTGGTATTGCTCCAATGTCCATAGAAAGCACTGAGTGCCTTTTCCTTAAAATAGCCAGGTAATCCCGCATTCTTATTTGGAGTAGTAGGTGCTACAATAAACAAAAGACATTTTCTCTAGTGCTTCCTCCACTATAATTTGTGGGTTTCACATGCGTTAACCACATTTTAGCTCTTGTTTCTGTATAAATTACAGAGTTGTTCAGTGTTTGGTGCATTGCATTGAAGAAATGGAGGTTCCAATGAAGTTCATCTGCTTTTTAGTTTTTCTTCTTGTTTTGGGCATCAATGGGTTCAACAGAGTTGATGGGGCTGGGGAATGTGGAAAATCTTCCCCAGATGTGGAAGCTTTTAAACTTGCTTCTTGTGCAACTGCAGCACAAGATGCAAATGCTCAAGTTCCAGACAGTTGCTGCAGTCAGGTGAAGACATTGGGCAAGAATCCAGCTTGCCTCTGTGCTGTTATGCTTTCTAACACTGCTAAGAGCTCTGGAATTAAGCCAGAAATTGCTGTAACCATTCCTAAGCGCTGCAATATTGCTGATCGTCCTGTGGGTTACAAGTGTGGACGTATATTTCCCACCTTCCTTTACTATTTGTTTTCTTATTCATATTTTCACTTCTTTAGTTTCATTTTCCTTTTTCACTTGCATCTTTTGAAACTTCTTCTTATGTGCTGCAGCTTACACCTTGCCCTGAGTGTGAAGACCAAATCAAGGTTCCAAGCTATGCAGCGTATGTATGTAGTAAGTAAATCTATTATCAGTATCAGTGTGCTGGATTCGCCATCGTAGCTACTTCATCTTGGCTGATGAAACTGCTGTAAAATCCAGCCATTTGAATAATAAATAAAAATCACTATGGTTGATTATGCATCTATCTTCCATGCTTGGTTATCCTTTTCTCGTATCACGGCATGTGTTGATGTTTGATTATGGACAAAAAAAAAACACACGCACACACACAGAGAGGAAGAGAAACGGCATATATTTATTTAGTTAATAGCTATATTACTTCTGGGGAGAAAACCCCAGGGACTGTTTTCATTACAAGGAGAATTAGGTTAGTCATACAAAAAGATAACATAAAAGTACAATATTTCAGGTAGAGTGATTTCTACAACACCCCTTAAATATCATTAGTTAAGACGTGCTAAGGTCGAAATAGTTGGGACAAAAAGAACCCAACATGCTTCCACAAGTCCTGTCTCTATCTCTCTCTGTATTCTCTACTTATTATTCTCCAAAATACCATGAAACCACTGTTCCTGCAAAACCCAAATTCACATAATCAGCATCAGGAGAAACCATACACAATCATATATACAGAAAGAACTGAGGATGTAAATTTGAAGTACCTTACATATGATATTTAGATGGGTAATTTGTATCATTTTGGATGTTTTAGTAGTAAAGAGACCCTGCAGAAACAAATAAATAGCATGATTAAAGACTGTTTAACCCGTCTATAAGCATAACTACATTATTTGTATCCAGATCCACAGCAACCATACCCTGCCACCAGTTCCCTCTTGAAGCACTGTTGGAATTGTTTCCGTTGGGATCGTCATCTCCCTCATCTTTCTTGAACTGGTGATATTGGAAATCAAAGATCACATCAGTAACTATGGATTTAGAGATCAGACTGCAAGACATTATCCAGGTTTTATACTTACAGACTGGGAGGATTCTGTGGTCTTCTTCCGTGGAGAGTAGTTTTCTTGGCCTCCATAGTAGATTGAAGAGCTCAAATAGCAAGGCTCTGTCGATTCATTCTGATAAACAGAACTACTCCTAGCTGTCCCACTGCTTTCCCCTTTCCTATCAGTTGTATTCCCTGAAACAATTGCACATAAAAGGGCCATTTTAACACTTAACGAACCTAAAAAGGATTAGCCTTGTAATCCAAATATCAACACTGACAGACCTGAACTTCCTGATTTCCCAGTCCCACCTTGATAATGCGACCCCATGATTCCACTGTGACCTGATTCCCTTCCATGCTTCTAAAATTATGTCAAAGAAAACAATTCAGAGCCATGCATGTGGCCATATATATAGTAGTGAGTCCAAAATGCGAGTTTTCATAACGCAGAATGTATAAACCAGGATGCAATGTGAAAGATACCACTGAAGGTGGTGGGAAAATCGATCCTAGTATCCCACTTGTGGAAGACGAAGAAGAGTCCTTAGGACCAAAGAGATGATCCAAAGAGGAAGAAGTGGTAGAGCCACCGACTTCCTTCCTGTTCTCCATTACTTTCTTTGTCAAACAACGAACAAGACAGCTCCTTGATTGTAGTTATCTCTTAACGCGCCGCGACCTCGAAAATCAGAGCAAGGGATGGATAAGATTTGCACAAAAGTACGTGAAAGATTTAAATTCGGAGATATGCAGTCGATGAAGATACGTATTGAGGTATTTATAAGCCCCAGAAAAGCAGAGGACCCCTGTTTGGGGCTGCTGATGAACCACATGTGCCATGTCCCCCTCCTTTCCTGTGTTTCGACACATGTGTCCCTCACCATCCAAGTGGACATCTCCCAAGATCCAACCCTTGATTGCCATGTGTTGGAAGATTGTCGTCGCCGTTGATCAGATTCCTTCGAAGAAGACGAGTCAGAGGACAAATGGATAAGGTGGTTGGCGTTGGCAACAACTTGATTATGTGGGTTACACCAAACAGTTGAGGACTTTTTTTTTTTTTTTTTTCTGTTTATATCCTTCATTCTAGATGTCGTTCAATTCTATTCAATGAATTCTGTTTTGTAGTATGGTGGAGACATACAGTCTAAACCGTAAAGCAGAAAACTCATGAAGATATTGTGGCTTGCTATCTTTACTGTAAATCTTTAAAGAATCGGAGACCGAATATATGGTCTTGAGGCAGCTAATGGAAAAAAGTTTGGATTTTTTTTCCAACTTGGGGTTGGGGCGGTGCCATTTTTAACTTTTGAACATTGCTATCCATTCTTTTTAGACTTTGGCCACCAAAAATCATGCCTAAAATAAGTAAAAGGGTACTCTGTTTTTCATGGATAGCACTTAGCAGAGAAGCTATGTTTCATGTTCTTATTGGTGGACTCAAGATAACACTAATTACTACGATCATTAATTACTCCTAAGCTTGATCTGAAAATCTAATTAATTAATTGTTCTTCCATATGTAGATAACCATGATTCCTGGATAAGATTCTTATGGATTGAAACCCTCCAAAAAAAAGTAATTAAATAGAGACCAGATTAGATCTTCAACCAAAAAGAAAGGAAAAGGAATTCAATTTCAAATCGACCAAATCTTTGACAGAAATTCTCGAGAGGATTCATGAACAAAAGCTTGAGAGAAGAAGTAAGCTTTTTTAGTTGTACGAGCTTTGGAGAACGTAGTTAGAAAGACCTTTTTTTTTTTTTTTTGAACAGTACCTGAAATAATTCGAAAGACAAGGAAGATATGGAAGGAGATTATATGTTCGAGAATTTTTTAAACAACATTCCCTTTAGGTTCCTTTTGGATAGGATAGGACCTAAACAGAATGTTGACACATTGTCTGAACGAGACATCTTCATCAATTAACAAACTTTCCAATGCTTTTATTTGCCATTTGGGTTTTTTTTTTTTTTTTTTCAGTTTTGGGTTTTGGTAGTAACAAAAAATTAGCCATGGGTTTGAGAAACTATGTTTTTTTTTAGTCTAAATTGTTTTCTTAGCGAATATGGGCATGCAATTATACTATTGACTTAGATTGGTTGAAAAAACAACTCACTTGGACTGCAAAACATGTTTATATTTGAGTGTTGGATTTTACAACATATGTTAATATGTTATCTCTAGAAACTCAATTTCATTTTAAGCTAATTCATGGTTCTACTAACAGTAAAATTAAACCCAAAAAAAAAAAAAAAATAGAGTTAAGTTATTGAGAAAATGTTTACTCTTGTACAAAGAGATGGAATTATACATCCACTAGTCAAATTGCATGGAGAATATTCTGAGTTCATATATGGAATTCAGGCAAATTTAATTTCCCTGTAATTTTCGTGGCACGTACGCCATTTTAATGTTAATTGACTTTGTTGACGGGGGTACGTTCCATGGACCACGTGATTGAATTTCGTTTAGGCCAAACATGCACCTACTTACCTGGCTGATCCCTATGCTGAGGCTTGGTGATTAGAGGCCGCTAGTCACTGGGATCACCTTCTTAGGTCACGGGTTATGCCCATGCCCAACGGCTCAAGATATATATATATATATATATATATATATGAAAAATAGTATTTATTTGTTTTATTATTTAAAAATTAGAAAAAAGTTATTTTAAAATTATATTATTTTAGTAAGTTATTATTAAAAGGGATTCAAATATCTTATAAATATGAATTAGAGAGTTTTTAATCTTTTTTCATTATATTTTATTAAAATGATATAGTTTTAAGTTTTTTTTTTCTGATTTTAAAAAAACCAAACAAATAAACACTAATTCAATATATATATATATATGTAATAACAGAAAAACAATATATACTATTAAAAAAAGTTCTAAGGTGTGAATGGGATCATTACTTTTAAGGCTTCACTAGCTCCCAAAATATATGAGAACAAACCAAAACTCTCTTGAAATGCATATGAGAATTATTTCTAAAAGTCTTCTAGAAGCCATGGTCCCCTTTGGTGAGCATGATTATTCAATTCGCTCAATACATCTAATGAATGTATGTGAATTCAAGATGAAGGAATACATTATATGTGGATGTCAGTTCTCTAAAGAATATACATACATGTATGTTCCTTTAATGAATGTACCTAAATGTTCTTTAATAAATGTACATATATGTTAATTTGGATGTATAAAGACGACTAATCATTTCTTAGCCAAATTAACAATTTAATCTATAGTCAATAATTAAATAATTCAGTGGTAATTTCTTTTCGCTGAAAATAAAAGATTTTAAATTTGAGTTACATGGTATACGATTAAGGTAAAATAAAGATGAGAGATGATTACCTTCCATTGTATAAAAAAAAAATCTATAGCTTTAGAATTTATTTTAATTGCTCATTTTCAGTTCAACACTTTTAAACTACTTATCATGTTAAAATCTGCTTTACATAGATTATATAAATTATAATCATTGATGCGAAGAGTAAATCGCTTTATATCGGAGTGGTGATGTAGCACGTTCAAAAGAGCAATCTCGTGTAATAATTGCACTTTTTTTGAAGAAAAAGGAAAACATGTACCTAGCTTGCTACCAGGCAAACTGGCAAGGAGGGAAGGCTAAAGAGGAGAAGTTTTACTCCCTGTTATATAAAGCTTATTATACGAGAAATACATAAATAGGAAATCCCATAAAGTTATTCCTAACAACTAGAAACATCATATATGGAGCAATTTCAAAACATAGATCGTAAAACTTGTCCGAAGTCAGTGAAACTTCCATGGATAACACTGTCGTTTAGGCTTAGGGCAAGAAGCATCCATTGTAGTCCTGCACTCACCTCCTGGACCATCACAGCATTTGCACACAATTCCAAGAGTGGCAAAGCTCGAATAGCCTACATATTGATCACGAACATTTGAATGATTAGCATGTAAATAAAATTGATTAATTAGTGTATTAAAACTCTATCTTACTAAAATTAAAGAAACTAATTAAAACAAGAGTTGTTATGAAGAAACATATATCGTTTCAAACCTTGTTGATCAAGGCGCAAGATACGGGTTGCCTGAACCCTTACTGGATATCTAGATACCCCCATGATCATTAAGAGCAAGATAATGAAGCGAAAGTAATTAGCCATGGCTAGCTGTGCAAACTGATCAAAACCTAAATTTGCAGAGTGTTTGCAAATGAATATGTCTTGTGTGGGGACATTTCAATTCATTTCACTAATGCTCACTTTTATAGTTGAATCATGAACGTGTTGTTTGGGAGTTGTTTTTATTTAAGATTGTCCATGGGTTTGGGTACCCATGAAAATAAAGGTTTTTAGCTTATCAAAAAAACAAAAAATTATGAACGTGTTGTTGATTTTCTTGAACCTAATTAAATATATAAAACCTGGTCCTGGTAACGTGTTAACTCTCCCAATACTTCTTACCCAAAGACTTGACCATGAAGAGCAATGATAAAACATTATCAGAAATTTTATATTTTTGTCATGTTTATTTTGCACTATATATTTCCCTTGATTTTTATTTCATTAAGCACGCAAGTCATTTTGAATATGACACCTTGGAATGGATTTTAGTAGCCCTTATTTGTTTTTTTTTTTTTTAATAACGTGAAAGAATTGACTTGAATTCATAATTTTAATTTTATTTTTTTATAAATTTAAAAATTATTTTATTCAAAAATTTAATATGATATTTCAAGATACCTCAAAAATTTTGAGGTGTCATATCAAATTTTAAAAAATATATTAAAATTTTAAATATTACATCATGCACACCTACATTCTTTTATCACTTTATATTTGACCTAGTGGGAAAACGTTATCGCCCAAAATTGTGCCTAAACGTGTCAATTGGGGATTGATTACAAGATGTTTTGTCATTATTTTGTTTGTTAACATAAATCACACATTTTCTAAGTAATCCCTAGGATCCCCCCCCAAAAAAAAAAAGACCTTAAAGTAGTAATAGAAAGTTCCTAAAATAGTCTTTTACCCCATGTAAAATCCTAGAAAGATCAAAGAAACTTTGAAGTAGTTTATAAGAGAGTTTCAATGCAATGAACATCTCAATAATGTGAAAATTGAATTTGAATATTTTGCTTTTCTAAAGATCCCTAAAGGTGTAAACTCACCTCTTTGCACATGTTTCATTATAGAAAATCAAAAATCATCTAGACAAAGCTCCTTAGAATTTCTTTTGGTCAAGAGAGAATTTGAATTCTTTATCTCCATCAACGTAAGGCAAGATTTCTTCTGGAAGGATCTAGAATAAGGATTCATTTGTCACCAAAAAAAAGAGAAACTTATTTTGAAAATGTGGACTAAGTCTTATTAAAGACTAATAAAAAGAAGTAATGGCCAATAAAGGTTCTAGTGTAATAGTAGAGACCGACGTTGCCTTCGAACATAATTTTAAGGTTTTGGATTCATATTATGCCTTTTTTCTATACATGCACCTGCATTTAAAAACTTTAATAGAGATATTAAAAAATCTCTCCACTCTTCTTTTTTTTTTTTTTTTGAATAATTTATATATTCAAACTTTTAATCACTTTATTCATAAATACTAAAAAAGACTTTATCCACAAATATGATCTATTAAAATAGTTTGCATCCAAATGGTCTCAAACTACTCTTTAACCACTTAAATAAACTCCAATGGGTTATCTCTCTACTTAGTTATTTCATAAATAACACTGAAAATTCATTAAACCAACAGAAACTAATGCATAAGCTTGGACAACATTTAACACCCTTTGCTTTATTCTTGAAGCTACAAAATTCAGCCTAAACTGGACCATCTATGAAAGCAGCACTGGACATTCCATCATCAAGATGATATGTTATGCTGCGAATAACTTCAAGGACACCATCAACCCCTGCAATTGATTCATGTATCAAAATTTGAAACGCACAAATATTAGCCAGTAATATACAGATACTAGAACAATTATCTTTACCTTGTAACTTTTTTGCCTCCTTTTGAGTGAGTTTGGCAGCAAATCCACAGGCTGCAGCTCTATAGCTGTAAATAAGAGCATGCTCCGGCTTGCTGCTCCATTGTGTCAATCAAAATTGAAAAATTCATAAACATCAAGAGCCGGCCTAAATTAATGGACAAAGTGAAGAACATTTTATAAGAAATTTAACCAATAAATATTCTAACTTACATGTCCTCGAGCACCTTATTCAGGAGATATAAATAAGCCGACCTTGTGGAATTTAGTTCACATGATACTAATACTATATAAACCTGCATTTAGTTAATACCAAGAAGCCAGATGCCACTGAGAATGGATAACAAGTAATGAAGAATGGAAAACCAGAACAAAAAATCATAGACGATAGTGATCATTGCGAATATGCATTCTAGAGAAATTTGTTCTTGCCTGTCTGGAGCCCTGCAGAGTCCGTGCATACGACTGGCTTTCAAGGAGGGTGAAGAAGATCAAGGATAGTATTGGGAGAAATTGTAAACAAGACCTAGCCATTGTTAGAGATCTGTGCTTGAACTTTGCTTTGAATTTCTGGGCAACTTCTCACCGTTTTTATACATAGGAGGAGACATTGATGAATCAGATCATAATCCTAGGACTTGTAACCCGCATTTGGAGTTACAGTTCATCAAAAACATTCCATGGAAACGGTAGCAAAGAACAAGTACATTTAATAAATCAATTAAATTTGGTAGAGGAAGTTCAAAAGAAAACTAGATGGAAGTTTTATTACTGTCGGAAGTTGTTACAAGTAACAGCATTGCACTTACATTGACAGAAGATTTTCTATCCTTTATTCCTTGTTGAACGAAAACCCTACTAGACTTTTGAACCAAACACACACTAGTAGGTAATCAAAACTGAGGAAGATATCCAACAACAGGGCTTCTCACTTGATACACCCCATCATACCAAGTCAAAGAACCAGAGATAGTGGATGGTTGTGTAAATGTTACAGTAGCATTCACCACAAAGGTTTTTGTTTCTCCAAGAAATGTAAAAGAAAGAACATTTGGTTCAACATCTATTGTAATTCACCACTGCCTTGTAAGTGGAATTGGCTGATCCCACATTTGTTACTGTCCTGTGTGAAAGATTCTGGTTGTGGGTTGTCCAACATCGGTAGCAGACAGAGTGAAGGAAGGGTAGTTCATATCCCATACTGTTTCATTTGTTGCTTCAGAACAAGATGTATCATTTCCGGGCAACAACTTTTAGTTTTGTGTCATTGTATCCTTGTCCACACAAAAATTTAATGCAATCAATCTCCCCAGCATCATATACAAGACCAGGGTTAGTGGCATTGGCCAGATTTATGTGACCAGCCCCATATGAAAACTCATCGTCTGATTGGTCTGCAGCATTCATGGGAAAAGTTGAAAAAACACATTGCATTAGTCACACTAATAACATGTAGATTTAATTAATTTGAAAACAAGCACAATAAATATAAAAGAAGAACCTGTTGTCATTAGAGCAGACTTAATGGCAGCAGGAGACCATGTTGGATAAAATGACTTGATGTATGCCGCTGCACCAGATGCATGTGGGCAAGACATGGATGTGCCAGAGATTATGTTGCATGGAACTACCCTTGTGTCCCCTGGAAAGCCTGTCACAGTGGTAGCTTCCGACCATGCTGCTAACATGTCAAGTCCGGGACCAGTTGTATCAGGCTACATGAAATCAAACAATTCATGAGTTAATTGTGAGGTTCAAGCATAAAACAGCAAATCAACCAGAGAAAGATGTTTCATTTCATTACCTTAAGAATGTCCGGTGTTATAATATTCGGTCCCCTTGATGAAAATGAAACTACAAAGACGGAGATTACATCCACTTCTGGATCACTCTTGAATATCTTTGCTGTGGGATTTCTGTTGAAAAAATTGAAGAATGCAACAAAATAAACAACATATGCTAAAACATTCAAGACACAAATTCAATCACACTTAGAGAATTTAAGGAGAGTACTCTGTTGATTTCACGTAGCTGAAAACTGCACTTCCATTGCTCATATAGGATGCTGGCAAGATGAAGCTGAAGGCTACATCATCAAAACCTAGGTTTTGCATTACCATACCAAGAGCTCCAGCAACTGCTGGCCCTGTTCCGATACTGATGGCATCGCACAAAACAATTTTCCCTTCTACCTTGTTCTTGTCCAAGGTGCCATCATCACAATAACTGCATTCTCCCAGTGAACTTTACCGCATCACAACAATATCTGAATCTAAGTTTAAATAGAATTATTGTCTAATCACAGCTATTACCTGGCATCAGTCCCAATAAGACCAGCATCTCCGGCATAGATGAAAGGGTACGTGTTATTCTCGGTATCAAAGGTTTTGATAGAGATACCCCACATACAGAAACTGAAATCTTATACCATCGTTCTTAGTGAATGTAGTATTATAAAAATCTCTATAGATATATAGGATATAGCATGATTTTCACCTTATAAATCTCACCATTACCCGATTGTACTTTATTGCAGATTTTCTATCTAGCGTACCGGCAGCCACAGAAAGAGCCCAAGGAGCAACACTTGAAGTTGATGCATATAAAGGACCAGAGTTACCGGCAGAATTTGATGTCATTATATCATTCTTCATAGCATGAAATGATCCGATTGCAATGGAATCCTCTAAATTTATAGCAAAGAAACCCCCTACTAAAAGAGAGATTATGTCAACATCGTCTGCAATTGCATCATCAAATGCAGCAAGAATGTCGGAGTCGTAGCATCCATCGCTCCAACATATCTTATACACAGCAAGGTGAGCTCCGGGAACTCCTCCGCGAGTGTCTCCCAAGCCAAGCCCGAGCAACCTCGCGCCTTGAACAATGTCACCAGCTGCGCTGGAAGCTGTGTGCGACCCGTGACCTTCCGTGTCCAATGGGGAAGCAACATCGTGGGGAATGAATTGGCCGTCAGCCCGATAGTACCGAGCCCCGATTATCTTACTGCAAAGAAATCAAAATAATTTTTTCAAAATAAGCAAAACCCACAAACAATTGAATCTGGATTTGCTAATGTTCCATTGAATTTACTTGTTGCAGGTGAAATTGGATGATTCTTGGCATGTTCCATTCCTTTTTTGCGGAGGTGGGCCGAAACTTTCATCGCTGAAACTCTTCGAATCCGGCCAGATCCCTGTATCAAGCATACCCACAATGACATTGCCCTCAAAAATCAACCTTCTAGCATTTTCAGAGAAATGCATGAAATCCCATGACCTTGTTGTGTGAAGCTGCTTCTTTCCATTAGGGAACACAGGCACAACCTCTTCCCTCTCTGTCTAAAAAAAAAAAAAAAAAACCTTTTTCATCTGGTTTTAGGAAGACATCAATTTTCTTCATGCTTAATTCTTAACAGCCAATTTCCGTGCTTCTTCCTCAGTCAAGTTGGCGACAGAACCATTGAATCTGCAGCAACACTGCAAGTGCATAACATGAAAAGTTAGGATCTTTGAAAAAGTCTCCTCTCAACCATAATCCTAAGTTAGTTTCTTCGAATTCTGTTCTGAAATTGTTTATGGGATCAATCTGAATGTAAGAATGAACCTTCCGCCAAACTTCTAGCAGAATGCTACCGTGAAGGGTTGCAGCAGGGAATTCATTTTTTGGACGTTCTCCCATGTATGCAATATAAACCTGCAAAAATTAAAATGGAATTAATTTCCCTTCTTCAGGTTATGGAGGTCCATAGGCCTTCCTTAAACCCAAATATGAACTTATTGTTCTAGCCCAAAAACTAGATTGTAAAGCCCAAGAGCACATTTATATACAGATCCATAGATAAAATATATAAAATAAAAAATAATAATATAATTATAATATAACGTGACATTAAAAATTTACAATTTTAACATGTATTAAATCATTTAATGAAATATTAATATTGTAAGTTTATTATTATATATGATATTATAATTATAATATTATATAAAAAAAAAAATCAAAAGAGAAGTATGTGGTTCATACTTTTCAGTTTTCGTTCATGTTCATCAGAGGCAATTGCAACAGCTAGGGGTGTGTAGCCGTTTGGAGACGTTTGGGTTCTGAAATTGTGTGCTTAGAGCATTGCACGAGAAACAGGTTTTATACCGTTTGTTCTGTGACACCCAAGGATCGGTATTACCGTCATTTTTTTATTTTTTATTTTTATATTTTAATGATACATTAAAAAATAATTATTTTTTATCTCTTTTCTCATCCCACCATATGTCATGCGATTCAAATTTAAAACTTTTTATTTTCAACGAAATGAAATAATCACTAAATTATTTATGTCGTAAATTACTATTACTGTCATTAACTTTAAAAAGAATACATATACAGCTGGGCATACATTTGCTTTGTTATTGTTTCAAAGCTTATTTACAACCCAACATTGCATTAGACAATAAAAACTTCTGGTTTCCTGCAACCTTACACAACTGTTCTTCTGGGACAAATAGCTAGAGCCTAGAACTTTACAATTGACTTTGGTAATAAGACAATTAAACGTTTGAGAATTATTACTCCGTTTATTCTAGAATAATAAATTTTTTAATTAAAAAATTTATTTTAAAATAATAATTATTTTTAATTTTTTAAAATATTTTTTTATTAAAATTTATAATTATTTTTATTTTTAATTATCTATTTCATTATAAAAAATAATTTATTTTTATTTCTTTTTAAAAATAAAATAACAAAAAAATCATTGACAAAATTTTGATTTTATGATAAAAATACAAAAAATTATTTATTATTTTAAAATTAAGAGAATATATTAAATATACGTGAGAATGATACTCATGCCCGCGCAACACAATCTCCTCTATGCAATTTATTTCGATTTTCCTTGTTTGTGAGAATTTTTGAGATCTTTCTTAATTTACGTGTATTCTCCTTAAAAAATCGTACTCTTTACAACTCTCCCAAAAAAAAAAAGAAAAAAAAAGAGAGAGAAACTGAAATTATATATTTTTTCTTCTTTCTTTTTCAGGCATTTTATTGATTTATAATACATTTGATATTACA